AATCGCTAATTGAAATGTGATGTGGATAGCTTGAGCATTGTGACAGTTTATTCATTGGTTTTGTGGCTAACAAACCGAATCGATGTTTTTCATTAGCACATAAATTTGAGCTAGATGGGGATAATTTTTAGCACTGCTTTACTAGGGACTTTCCTCCATATCAGTTGATAGATAGGGGTTTTTAAAAGTTATGCTACTTCATCTGTCCATCCAATTGTGCAACTTCACATTGGGTAATATTGAAACAATTAGTTCATTCAGTGTTTTTTGTATATTAGGTGGTGAATTTTCATATTATTGGTTTCTCATTATCGGTTTATTAAGATTCCTTCCGACATTATTTCTTAAATGCATAGTGAAGTGTGGACTAATAAGCCGTAACAATCCTTAGCCTGGATTAAAAATGTTCAAGAAATAGTAAATTCTGAGAAAAAAATCGCCATGTTCTTAGATTATTATTTCAACTGAATTATTGCATTTCCTATAAATTTCAGATAACGAAAATGCTTGGAAGACCTTTGGTAGACAGTCTACCAGAACTGTTGTTGGTGCCGTCGAAAAGTTTAGTTCGTTTCGCGTCAACGAATCCCTCTTCATCGTCACCGTCTGATGAGAAACCCGCAGTGAAATCCACACCAAGAACGAAATCCGTCTACGGTTGTGGCCTTGTTGCCTCGGGAAGTCTAATGAACGGTTCGGCAGTCAAAAACGCCTTCAACAGTGAGGCAATGGAACTGAAAAAACCAACGCATATCACGTACTGTAACTCGAAAGCAATCACGGCGATTGCGAGTGGCTTTGGATTCTCGGTGTTTGCGTCCAGAACGAGACTCTACGGTGGTGGCGTTAATATTTTCAGCAACGAACTGAAATCGGATGGTTTCTGGTCAAGAGGTAGACGTCTCATGTTCAACGTGAGCGATCAAGAAGCGAGCGATACGAATGGTAGTGACAGCGGCGTTGACGCTGATCCGGCAAGAGAGAAGATTATCGATATAGCGGCAGGACGAAGACATTTTCTGGTGGCAACCAATAAGCGACTGTATGCTTTCGGCGATAACGCTCACGGACAGTGTGGTCAAGATCCCGAGAAAACGCAATTTCTTCTGCCGAACAACCCGAAATCTGCTG